TTTCTTATGGAACCAATTATTTATCTTTAGAAATCTTATCGTATTATAGTGAAAAATGAATAAAACTTAAAAGCCTTAGAAAAACTGAACCGTCCTCTGACAGCCACTTCAAATTTGTAGTTGTGAAGTTAAAGAAGGCATGCTTCAAGGTTATCCTACTTGCCAATTGGGATACTAGACCAAAAGTAAAAAATGCAGCTCACATCACAATTATTGATGATTGGAAGTGATGATGATGAAGTGCTCAAATTCTATTGGGTATAAGCCATTTACTTTGCCAATATTTCCCCCATACAATCTGATTACAAACTCAATGGCTTCAATTTATTGTTGATTTGTTGTTGTTTCAGCTCAAGGGCAATGGAGATTTCAAAGAACAAAGACCAAATCACTCTCAGGGTTTGAAACAACGAGGCTCAAGAAAATAAGAAAAAAAAAAAACACTATGCACAGAAAAAACACTATGCATAGATATTGTGGTGTATATATCTTAGTTTAGTAGTTAGTGGATAGAGAAGAATATTGGTCACGATTTAATGGAAGGTAGCAGCTATTATATATCCTTTGATTCTGAGAGTTGATAGAAAGTTAAGATTCATAGGTGAGGTCTTAATCTCTTCACAATGACTATACACCGTTTAGAAGAAAAAAATTCAAATAAGAGATCATTTAGGATCTATCTAATATCTTACGAATTCTTACATTTTCTGGTTGGTAAAGATTGGTTTGTTCACTTAAATTTAACAAATTCATAATGAATACATTGGTGCAAAATAATGAATATGAAAGTTAGGGTTCGTAGAAGAATTTGGTTTCTTTACGTAGCTCTGGGTATGGTGGTAGCTATGAATACTTTAGTTTGGATTGGTCTTTTCCTATCAAGATATTTGGTTTTCTTCCATTAAATTGTGATCCAAAAAGACTAACACCAAACTAAATTTAAGATGTTATAATTTTTTTTTTTTAAAAGATGTGTTATATTATTTGAAAACCAAACTATCTAACACCAAAAAGTCCAACACCTTTTTTTTTTTGTTGAGTATAAATCTTGGTACACATTCATGCATGCTTACTCATGACGGAAGAAAAACCCACAATTTCAAGCTCATTCGATATTTCTTTAAATGGGACAAATATCTATAGTTATGTAAATTCCTCGACTATACTTCCCAAATAAAGAAATACATATTTTAAAATACTTTGATGATATATATAATACATGGTTATGGACCTATGGGTTCGTATTATTAATAAAATAAGTAATGGACCACATCATAATAATTTAATCGCCATAATTAGTGTATATAATACTTGCCAAGGAAAACTATATGTATATGGATCGGTCCACAGACCATATGGTGTGTCTCCCAGAACTTTTCTTCTAATTAAGCTATACTTTAGTCAAATTATTCATATTATATACACTCCAAAGAGCCACTATCTTCTAAATTTCTAATCCTCTGGCTCTACTCATTGCACTCATTCCTTTAAGCGTAACCAACCAAATAAAATACTTTATATTATGTCCGTTTCCTCGAATTTAATTGATATGGCGTATTTATTAGATTGATACATAATTATCTGAAGACAAACAACTAGTGTTTACAATAATAGATACAAAACCGTTGACCATATCATCCATATATTTGGTTTGACTAGTTATCTATGTTTTTCGTATACAATACCTATACGCGTTTTATCATGTTTACATTTTATTGGTGACACGATAACAAATTACTAAAGTACGAATTTTATTTTATTTGTTTACATTAGAGATTCTAAGTATAGTCTTACGTAACTAAGAAATTCTAAACTATCCGATGGATTGATCTTTCAAAGACTATAACTTATTACTAGACATCCAACGAAACAAAAATCTCTCTCTACATCCGATTATCCAAAAACATGCGAAAACATCCAATGGAACAATACATATGATAGTTAATAATGGGATAGTGATAGTTTTGTTTCATTGTGTTTGTGAATTGTGAGACTGTGCTTTTTTGGAAAATTATATATACATGTTAGACAAAAAGACGCCAAAAAAGAGTGTTAGACAAAAAATTAGTTTTATAAAGTATAAGATCTTGCTTGATTCTAGCATCTCGTTGAAAGGTCAAAAGATAGATGACTTCATTCAGTTCGATATAAAATCCTTTCACTTACCCACGCTATATAAAAATGATAATTAAGTTACACTTAACCTCTTTCTTATTCAGGTTTCCAACGACTGTACTATAGTTCAAATATTAAGAAAATTTGTTGAAAAGAAAATAATTATATTTGTTAGAAACTGGAGCTGTAAGTTGTAACTAAATAACTTTACGTGAGTTATCAGTTTACGATTTTAATTCAATAGTAATAATACTCATGTATTTTGGCGTATTAGTTGACGGTATTTCACTGTCATCTTATGAATAATGACAAATGGTAACAAATGGAATTGACAAATTTGTTTTTTATTACTAACATGGCTAGAGTGGTCTAACTTTATTTTCACCGGAAATTTGAATTACTAAAAATTGCCTCATAAAAATTTAAACGAGCTGAATTTTTCTATTATGTTAATTTTTTCTGTTCCGGTGAAGCACATGGACCAGGAAAAAACCAAACACAATTTTCTGCCACATAGGGAATGTGCAACATTTGCTATGATCAAATGATAAATAGAATAATAGGAGAAATATTATTCCCAACAATATCTTTGATTATGTCTTTTATATACCTCCAAAAGTTTATATAGTTTGTTTATCCATTGTTAACAACAGTGAAGCCAAAGAAAAAAAACACTACAAAATTATTAATACGGTCGTCGAGCACAACATTCCTTACATGATTTATGACAATAACATGTTTGGTAGTGTATTACTATGACAATAACATGTACTTAGTATTCAAACTGTGATTAAGTTTATGTACATATATTAATTATAGCAGACCAAAAAAAGGAGGTAGTAGTTTTTTTCCGTTGGACATACATATACTTTGCTTACGTGAATTACGAAAATAATGTATTTAAAATGTGATTAGTTTATGTACCTTATCTTAAGACTATACGTACATATATGTCTGGTCCTGGAACATACAAAATAGCCAAACACGTTGTACGTAAAAAGCTGACGAAAAAAAAAAAAAAATGTAGGATAAAAAAGTGATAAGTAGCAATAAATATTAGAGATGGATAGAGATAAATAAAAAATGGACCGACCCATTACAACAATTAAAAAAATGTACAGAGTACACAGTCTAAAACAGTAGCTATGGTTTTTTTTGGCGTCTCTGTAATAAATTGTTCTGGGGATCTTCGTCTGATCCCATGCCATTCACTATCACCACATTCATTTATTGATGCTTCATTATCTTCCTTTGTTTTTTTCTTTCCCCCGATCGCTTTATTTAATTCGTACCATATTCTATAGCATTGATCTTTTGTAGTCGTAGGTCGAAACTTTTGTTTTTATTTAATCTTGATAGTAACACTTATCTTTGGAGATATGTAGTAGTATTCAAAAGGGCACTTCGATTTATTTGATGTGTCATGTGTCTTTTTATCTATAGAGTGTTCTTTTTTATTCACCATTACAAACATGAAAATGTTGAAACGAAAAGTGGGATCGTACGTAGTTACGTTAAAAGTGAAAATTGATGAAACTAGTATTTATCACTTTTAACATTTTGTTACTGCACCTACCGTTATTGTCATAATAGAACCTCATGAATTTCAGCATTATACAGTTAGCGCGCAATAAATATCTGAACAAATGTAGGTATAGTTGGTATTGTTACAGTGGCAACATGTTTATTTTCTATTCATCAAGGTGATGACTTATCGGATCAAGACTTGATTCGAAACATTTAATGTTTTACATGGATCGATATATAAACAAACAAAATGGCTCACACCCATATAGATCCAATAATCGATTATCTTGATGCATTGTATACTTTCACCGAACTGTAGTAACCCAATCATACATTTTCCATATCTACTAGCAGTCTAACACATTAAATTCTGTCAAAGATCGAACAGTGTTATACAAAGAACGATCAATCAAAGATGAGACAAAACTTCTGAGACTTCGGAAACATATCATCTATAACAATTGTTATAGTTAAAAAACTATTCCCAAATAGTGTGTGATTCTGTATTAACAGTAAATCCTTTTTTACAACATTAATGGTGAATCTTCTTATTAATTATCGATGAAACTATAATTACATCTTATGACTTATGAGTGACATTTTTTTGTTTGGTCAACAGAGGGACATGTTCCTATGGTAAAAACCGTGTACATAGTTGAAAACGTTACCCTTAAAAGTATGTGTACATAACATACCAATTACCATTCTATCTTTACTATTTTTGAGTTAGGTGCCACACAAACTTCATTTCTAAAAAGGTTAGTATCAGGCCAGCGATAGTAGCCTATATAGCTCATAAGTTTGTCATATTTCTAAAATTTTGTAATATTAAGAGCTTGCATATGTTTTTCATTTTCAAATTAGGTGCTAAGCCAATAAATCACTAGTCTATAATTAATCATTTTCACTTTCAATTTGTTTCTTAAAAGATTAATATCACTAGTCTAGAATTGCCTCTAGCCAATAAATTTTCTACATAGTCCTGATTAATCCACTTTTTTTCAGATTCATTTTGCTCAACTGCTTATAATATAGGATAGAAGGAGTATTAAGATTACTACCAAGATCAATCATCTAACGATTATTAACCTTGGGAAACGAAAAGCAATTACACAGAAATGCAGTAACTTTTAACAATTTACAGCTTTATCAGAAAGAAAACAAAAAAATCATATCACCAATCTTCCACTATTATTGACAAAAGGAGACTCCTTTTTAAATTCAACCCCTCCCACCTTCTCTTTCTCTTCATCTCCATTTTCTTATAATCCCAAAAAACACTTTCTCAGAGAAAATCTCAGTCATTACCACAACGCACGAGCCACGAGGTAGAAGAAGAAAGAAGAAAGAAGCAAAACATGATTAACGGCTGGAGAAGAGCCTTTTGTACTTCCATACCCAAAGAGAGAAACGACGATGACAACAACGACGACGGCAGAGTTGCTGATTCGCCGGGAAATCAACCTTTCCGCCACAAATCCACCTCAAAGTTTGGATTTTTCTCAACTCCGTCAACTCCTCGTTCCGACTCCGGCATCCACAAACTCCGTTGCCGGACTTCTGTAGCCACCGCTTCTCCGTCTCCGTCTCTTCCCGGAACTCCGAAGCTAAAGTGCAGAACCACCACCACCACCGCCGAAACAACTCCAATCACAACGCCGACGAGAAGCCTCGTCTCTTCTTCTCCTAAATCTCCGGCGAGTTTCTCCCTCTTCACGTCCAGACTCCGATTCAACAAAGTAAAGAGTTTTCAAATTCTGTTCCTTTTCTAAATCATTTGATTTTAGCTGAATCTTTGATTTAATCAATTTTGTTTCTGTTTTTGTTCGAGCAGAGTAGCAGCAACAAATGTGGAATCTGTTTACAGAGTGTGAAGTCCGGTCAAGGTACGGCGATTTTCACGGCGGAGTGTTCACACACGTTTCATTTTCCCTGCGTTACCTCACGCGCCGCCGCGGATCATAACCGGCTTGCCTCATGTCCGGTTTGCGGATCTTCTCTGTTGCCCGAAATTCGAAATTACAGTAAACCGGAATCTCAAACCGAGATTAGGATCCGAGGAGAAGTGAAGACCAACAAGTCGTTGAGAGTTTACAACGACGACGAGTCTTTGATTTCGTCTCCGATCTCTCTATATTTTAGGACATACGCTGTTTGTATAAAGATTGGAATTCAGATTTCTCGGCTAGAACCAAGAGGCTACACCAGAAACGATCCTATGGTTCGACTCCCACTAAGCCCCATGATTACTACTAAGAAACCCTAAACCCACAAAGAGGATGACCGTACATGATGCGGGAACTTAATCCCTCTCAAACACACTAGCCTGAGCTAAACAAGGGCTTTAAGATTCCAAATTATCCATTCAAACAGATACAGAGGCAGAGGATAGTATCATTCAAAGTATTGGCTCACACAGACATGAAGCGGATAAATTTGATTGAGACACAAATCAATAAGAAGGTGGGTCTTTAGACTTTACCTTGCCAAGCATTTTCAGCTCTTTTCCCACTGGCTCCAAGAATTTAAGATCAACTTCAACTGGCCACACCTATTCAAATACAAACGAACGTTGAGACTGTTAAACAAATGCAATACATATAAGAGAAAGTGGTCAAAACATCAGGCTTAGCAAAAAGATGATGTGTTCCCTTTTAATGCTATTAGCAGCATACACCACGTATGTATTAGAAGATGATGATACACATAAACCTTTTCATGACTGAATACGATTTCAATTTCTAATTCCACATTCAACATCATCTAGAAAATTCAAAAAAAGAAGGAATTTCTTAAGAAGTGACCTTAACACCAAGCAATCGAAGAGGCGTGACTTGACCAGGAACAACACATTCGGGTCCTGCAGATTCCAGCACCGCGTCCATCGCGAACCCACCTCCCACCGGATTCGGATGCTGCACAGAGCGAGAGAGAGAGAGAGAGATTAAGCAAAGCAGAATTAATGAAAAAACAATTGAATTCCCAAATAGATTGCAATCGACAAAGTGCGAAGAAAAAACCTTCATGACGGAAATGGCGTAATCGGTTTCTGGGGTTTGAGAGATACTAAGAACTGGAGAGCGACTGATTCGAGGCACTGGTCTTACTGATGAAACACGCCATGGCGCATCCTCAGCAAGCGTCGTAGCTCCTCCTTTCTTCGCCATTGATTGAGAGCCCTTCAAAAAATTTCTGGATTGAAAAAATTATCTGTTTGACGAAATCGAAAACGCTTTTGTGGTCAGCTTTCGGATTGTCTTCGTGTGCTTGTTAAAGAGACGCCATTTTTCGGTTTTTCTCTTTCAACCTTTTTATCGCAAGTGTTTAAATTACGGAAATAGCCACTCACAATTGGACTTTAAACTCGGCCCATTGGACCTATACGTCAAAAGACCGTTAATTTGAACTATTTCTTTTAGTATAACATCATTTGGAGAATATTCTCGGAAATTATGTATTAAAAATAATATACACTGTACTTCTATGAAATTAGGCTGTTTATCAAGTAACAATAGAAACTATTAATGTCACGCTCATATGAAATGATCACACATTATTAGCTTTTCATTTGACAAATTAGCTTTTCATTATTTGTATGATTTTTTCTCATTTGTCAAATTAGCTTTTCATTTGACAGTTTAATCTAGCTGTTTCGCCCTCAATTATTCTTTCACCCAACAAGAGATTTTTTAAAGATTGATCAGTATAACCCTGGTTGTGATTTTCTGTGTTGAACCTCAATATTACTTCAAATGTGCTTATTGTGATATCTCCTAGCTGAATTTACCAACTTAATCCAGTAGCTCTCATCGGGAATCATAAATCTAAGTGGATTTCATAACAACCTGAAAGATCTTCCATGTAGTCAGGTTCTTGACATAGTATCTAAGTGTTTCTGGTTCTGTATATGAGAATTTTGTAGCATGCTATCTTTGAAACTTCTAAGGTTGACTTGAAAGTGTCTTCCGTTAATATTGCTATATGGTCATGCAAACTCTTAACTTGGTTTGAAATTGACATTCTTGTTACGAAACTGTTGGAAATAATAATAATGGGAAAGCTGCACACTGTGAATGGCGGGATTATGATGAGTTGAGTGAATACTTTTGGTTAGTAGCTTACTCGTACTATTACATTTGCAAGTATTAAATCATTTCGAGTCCCGTTAACTGTGTGTTATGTTCAGGACACCTGGTTGCTCTGAGTTAAGCTGGCCGATAACCAGTAGGAGACATACTAGTTGCTTTTGTGTTCTCGAGAGAAAATGAAACAAGTCTTGTTGAAAGACGAGAAGAGTAGAAGAATAATTATGAAAGACATAAATTAAAGAGAGAATAGGGTTTGATTAAGCATCTCTCTCTCTCTCTCTTCTCCTTAAATCTTTAACCTTTGTGCCTTGAGGCGCTCTACAAATGCGTCTAAGCTCAACGTCTTTTGCGTAGCAAGAACCGTTTCTGATGTGCTTTCTTGTTCCCTTTGACCTCCTCTTGGTTGCTTGATTTGCGCAAGACTCGGAACATAAGAACACGCACGGAAATCAAACTCCAATACCGTTTTGGTATATTCATGGAGATGCAGTTTTCTAAAGTATCCAGCCTCTCCAATGCCGTAAACTATGCACCTCTTAGCGTGACGGTGTACATCGAAAACAAGTGCGGCTTTCTTCTCCTCGTCAACCAAGAAACTCCCAAATGAAAAACTAAATTCAAATGGCACCGCATCAAGTGTCAACAACTTGATCCACGACACCTTCTCGGCCTCGATCGTCTGCGTAATCCAAACCTCCGTCGTCGAAGGAGGGTCGTCCTTCTGATATAAAACCGCAAGCTTCTCTTCTCCAACACAAGATAGAGTCACAATCTCACACTCCAAGGGCTCAAACGGCAGAGGCAGAAGCGGTCCAAACCTATTTCTTGTATAATCAAAACATATCAAGTGATGCGCCAATCCATCGTTCCAGGTGTTCCTCCTAAGTGAAGCTCGCCAGTAAGTGTTTCCCTTGAGAGACACGCCAAGGCTTTCAAAGCTTAAACGCCAGTGTGGAGTCCCCACATCAATAGTCTTCCATTCACCAGAGTCAAGATCATAGATTTCATACCAGAAAATCTCGCCTCCGGTCCTATCACCATTACCACAAGCCCATTGCTGGATGTCAAAATCCAAAAACCTCAAGATTTTGTAACTCTTCTTCTTCCTCTCAGTCTCGCTGTAACCCAGAGCGTACCTACACCAGTCCAATCTGTCCATTGGTCTTCGGAAGTAAAACCTTAGTTTGATCCACCTTGTTTGACCCCAATACGGATTCCAAACCACAATCCTATCGTCGTCTTTCAAGATGCACAGCAACAAACCCTCGCAGTAATAGATCTGATGTATCTTCACTTGCTGATCTGAATCGTCCTTGAGGCAGCAAGTAAAGTGTTCACCTTTAGGCTCTGTAGATGGATCAGCGTCAATTTCTGAAGTCGGCGTGACGCTCATCAGATAAAGCTGCTGATCCGTCAGCAATATCACCGGAGGAGACTCGCCTTTTTCCCTGGCTGCTGCTGCTGCAGCTGTGATTTTACCCATGTGCAGCTTCGTAAAGCTCCCGCTTTTGGATAAAGTGTCCCACTTTCTGCAAGTTAACCGAACTGCTCTCATAGATGTCAAGGGAATTCTAGAGATGATCTCCTCTACCAATTCCGCTGGAAGGTTGGAGATGGTGGTCGTGGTCGGCGTCATTGTATCTCTTCCTCTGCTCTCTTGCTTGCGGCAGTGACAAAAATCGACAACTAAAATCTAGGAAGTAAGTTCATTTAAGAATAGACACCTATTTCGGGGTGCTTTGCAGCGACGCTTAACGTATCTAATTAAATCAAAAATACGAAAAAGACAAAGTTCCAATACTTGAATAAGCGTTTTTAGAGTTGGTGCTATGGACAAGTGGCAGGTTTTGATTGAAAGGAGGTAATTGAGTTTCTTTCCCTTGGGTCAAAACCCAGTCCCTGAATCATCATCAACATCCTCTCTCGGTTACAATCCCTGCTGTTACTCGATTTCGCTGCGAGAAGAAAGAGGCTTTAGAGAAGAAGCTGGTGGCAGAGGTTTTTCTTTGACGATGATGGGAATTGGAGGATTGGATTCGGATGATAGTTTAATCGAGTCTTGGAGCCGAGACTCTGCCGGTGGTGAGGGAAGTGACGACAAATCAGAGCTCGATGAATTGATGCTTCCAGAGAGAGGGTTGGTTGAAACTTGAAACGGTGAGGGGTATGGTTTTAGGAGTAGAAGACCGTGTTTTTCGTTATAAGACTGTTACACTATTGATCTTGTTCCTTGCTTGATATGTAATGTTCTTCCAGAAGACTGAACAATGCTCATTGACAATTGTAACTCTTTACAGGCAAAGCTTTTGGCGATACTGATTCTTATACCATGGGCATTGGACTTTTTAGCTCATGATTATGTACTTGCTCACTTTGGAACGAACTATCAACCTCTTTCACCGTAACAAAGGCATAATTACACAGGATGGCACAAAGCTTCCAAGGACTCAGATACTAATCAAAACGAACACATAATACAATTCCTGACACAATTGGTTAGCTAAAATCTAGGAAGAAACTTCATTTAAGAATAGACACCTCTGAGAGTATCCAGTCTGACGAACTCTTAAGATTCAGCACTCTTGGACTATCGACCAAGCATGTGGATGATATTTTCGTTAGTTTAGTAACCAATCCAATGCTTTGATCAGCAAAATTTTGAGAGACCGTGAGACACTGAGACTTGCTTCTTCCTGAATCATGATGGGAACAAACTTTATAACTAAATGACTTTCTGCTATATTGCCAAGTAGGAGACATACTAGTTACACGCATATGTCATGACATTACCTTGCAATGAACAGTCTATAGAGCAAATCATAATATATTAATGGCGCAAATCATACAACACACCCCAGAAGATTCAAGAAAGTTCCACTCGGAAAAGATATGATCAAGGCCTGATTCACTGTACGTTACAAATCCAATCTTCAGTCCAAGAGACTTTGATAGAAAAAGTGTTTTTTTTTTGTTTTCTTAACGAATTTTGTAAAGCTTTTCCCGCTTTAAACAATTGCTATCATAAAATTGATCTCAAATTGAACTATGCTCGAAAGTTCCACTCGGAAAAGATATGACAAAGAAGGCCTGATTTTATTAGTTACGTTACAAATCCAATCTTCAATCAAGTTATTAGAAGTTTGATTGATTACTCGACAAAGAAAAAGGAAAAGAAAAGGATTTTTAAAACTAGTACATACATAGTAAGTTACGCAGAACACAAAGCAGAAACAATACATACTGCAAATATGCCAAGGAAACAAACATACAAAGAAAAAAAGAAAATAAAAAAAAGTCTCGAGAGTAAATGAAACAAGTCTTGTTGAAAGAGGAGAAGAGTAGAAGAAGAATAATTATGAAAGACATAAATTAAAGATAAGAGTAGGGTTTGATTAGTCATCATGTCTCTCCTCTCTCTACCTCCATCTTAGTCCTCATCCTTTGTGCCTTGAAGCGCTCTACAAATGCGGCAAAGCTCGACGTCTTTTGATTAGCAACAACCGTTTCTGATCTGCTTTCTTGCTCCCTCTGACCTCCCCTTGGTTGCTTGATTTGCGCAATACTCGGGACATAAGGACACGCACGCACATTAAAGCCCCTCTCGTTGGCAAATTCTTGGAGATGCAGTTTTCTCAAGTATCCAGCCTCTCCAATGCCGTAAACTATGCACCTCATAGCGTAACGGTGTAGATCGAAAACAAACGCGGCTTTCTTCTCCTCGTCAACCAAGAAACTCCCAAATAATAAAAAGCTAAAATCAAGCGGCCCCACCGTATCAAGCGTCAACAGCTTGATCCACGACACCTTGTCGGCCTCGATCGTCTGCGTAATCCAAACCTCAGTCGTTGAAGCAAGGTCGTCCTTCTGATACAAACACGCAAGCTTCTCTTGTCCAACACAAGACAGAGTCACAAGCTCATAATCCAAGGCCTCAAACGGCAGAGGCAGAAGCGGTCCAAACCTTCGTCTTGTGAAATCGAAACATATCAAGTGACTGGCCAATCCATCGTTCAAGGTGTTCCTAGGTGAAGCTCGCCAGTAAGTGTTTCCCTTGAGAGACACGCCAAAGCTATTAAAGCTTATATGCCAGTGTGGAGTGCCCACATCAAGAGTCGTCCATGAACCAGAGTCAAGATCGTAGATTTCATACCAGACATTCTCGCCTTCGGTCCTATCACCATTACCACAAGCCCATTGCTGGATGTCAATATCCATAAACCTCAAGATTTTGTAACTCTTCTTCTCACTCTCAGTCTCGCTGTAACCCAGAGCGTACCTACACCAGTCCAATTTGTCCATTGGGGTTAGGAAGTAAAACCTTAGCTTGATCCACCTTGTTTGACCCCAATACGGATTCCAAACCACAACCCTGCCGTCGTGTTTCAAGACGCATAGCAGCAAACCCTCGCAGTCATAGATCTGATGTATCTTCACTTGCTGATCTGAATCGTCGTCCTTGAGGCAGCAGCTAAAGTGTTCACCTTTAGGCTCTGTAGATGGATCAGCGTCGATTTCTGAAGTCGGCGTGACGCTCATCAGATAAAGCTGGTGATCCGTCAGCAATATCACCGGAGGAGACTCGCCTTCTTCCCTTGCCGCTGCTGCGATTTTGCCCATGTGCAGCTTCGTAAAGCTCCCGCTTTTGGATAAAGTGTCCCACTTTCTGCAAGTTAACCGAACTGCTCTCATAGATGTCAACGGAACTCTAGAGATTATCTCCTCTACCAATTCCTCTGGAAGGTTGGAGATGCTCCTCCTCGTCCTCCTCCTCGTCATCCTCATTGTTTCTCTTCCCCTGCTCCCTTGCGGCTCTGACAGACAATTGAAGCGAAGAAACCCTTAAAATAAGTCTTTTGCCGTAAGGTATCGACGATAACTATATATAAAAAACACCAAAGCCCTATCCTTATCCGAAAAAGGTAATGTATCAAGTATCTTTACGTGTTATCAATTCCAAAACAAAACAGAAAAAGGAAAAACTACATTTGTAAGATATCAGATTGACAATGATAAATGATAAAAGTCCAAAAGACTTATTAATTGCCCCAAGTTCGGGACATTAACCTTCTAAGGAATCTCCAAAAGGGCAAAACCCGAACCTCTGTCACATTTGCCACAGCTACATGCCACACCATACAGAAGGCTATTGCGGTCAGGGCAACCTAACTCCAAGAAATTCTTTCATTCATCTAAATCAAAATGATAGAAGACGCAGAGAAGGCCAAAGAAGGAATGAATGCAAAGTTCTTGGACGGTTGGGTCATATTTGTGGATCCTGCAAGACCTAGAGAACCAAGACGGCCTTTGGAGCAGGAAACTCAATCTTCCTCTGGTTCCGGTTTCACAACAAACAAAACCATTGGGTGGTGTAAATGAACAAAACCCAAAACACTTGAGATTTCTGTTTGTATGAAATGAAAATAGCTTCTTGGAGCCATTCGTTTTATTCCAGGCAGAGGCAAATTCATATTAGACATTGACTTGAGTTTTTGAGACTTCATATGATCAGATTATAAAACTTTAACAAGCCCATAACAAAATCCTTCTCTTCCAAGTTTCCGATTTTCTCTAAACATTTACAAACAGAGAGAGTAAAAATAACAAAAGTGGCGATAAAAAAAACCTTTAAAAAAGCTAGATGAGGTAAAACGGCGGTTGGACTTTAGGGTTTAAGGTTTGACATTCAGACAAAATCAATCTGCAGACACAAAAAGTACAAAAAGAAGGACAACAATTAATCAAAATCCGCAACTTCGTTGATCTCGAATTTCGGCGACTGTTCTCAAAAAGATGCATTCTTGTTTTCATACTCAATTCGCCTCTCTCAAGCTTCCCCATTTCTTCGCGCCTAAGGTCTCTTCTCTTCTGAAGAAGCCCTCTTTACTTTCTCTGTGTGATTGGTTGCCGATTAAGAAACAAAGTTTGACACTTTAGGTGTTTTTTTTACTCAGAGTTTTGTGGCGTCTTCGCGGAGAGAATTAAGAGTGTTCGCAGTGGCAACGAGCATGGAGGAGGCGTCAGTTAGCATAGCAGCAGCTCCGATTTCTCTACCTGAAGGGTCATGGAAACAGGTTTTGTTCTGCTTCACTTCACATCCAAAATTCGGATCTCTTTGAAATGCTACAAAGTTCGAAAAATTGAATCTTTTTGTTGTTGGTGTTTAGATAGCTGGTGGAGTTACAGCAGCTAAAGGGTTTAAAGCTGCTGGTATGTATGCTGGATTACGAGCTTCAGGGAAGAAGCCTGATCTCGCTCTTGTAACCTGTGATGTCGATGCTGTAGCTGCAGGTCCAAAATGCTCGCTTCTTTTTGTTAGTCCTTAATTTGTTGAGATGCAAAAAGTTTCTGACTTTTTCTTGTTTGTGAATTTCTTCAGGTGTGTTTACTATGAATGTGGTCGCTGCTGCTCCTGTCGTTTACTGCAAAAAGGTTCTTGAGACTTCGAAAACGGTAATTATTTGGATTTCGGAGTAAGACCAAACCATTTTTGTGCTTTCTGAGCTTTGAATCAGTGAGTTTTGAAATCTTTTCAGGCGCGTGCAGTGTTGATCAATGCCGGTCAGGCCAATGCAGCTACTGTAAGTAGAGATCTCGAGCTACGTTGTTTAGGAGTTAATTCATATGATAGTGAAATAGCCTGAATTGTATATGGTTGTATTAAGGATTGAGATCATTCATTTTTTCAGGGTGATGCTGGTTATCAAGATATGTTAGATTGTGTTGGTTCTCTTGCGACGGTATTGTCTTTGATATCTTCCGTTCTAGTGTCTGTTGCAAAGTCTCATACTTTACAACATTGTTCCCATATTGTTTCTTTATTGTTTGTAGCTACTAAAAGTGAATCCAGGGGAAGTGTTGATAGAGTCAACTGGAGTTATCGGCCAGAGGATCAAAAAGGTACACACAAACATATTTCTCGTTCTCCTTTCTTTCTTTCTTATCCGTTCGGAGCTTCTTCTTCCTCTTCGCTGAATTCCGTGTTTAGAGATTGAAAAGGATGAGGAGATGTCTGATGAAGAGAAATTCGAGACGAGCAGAGGCCATTGTGGAGCTACGGGAAGGTAAGGCGGAGATTGGAGGTGATGATGATGGTGATGTGAGCAAGAAATGGGAGGATTGGATTGTGGATTCGGATGATAGTTTAATCGAGTCTTGGAGCTTGATGAATTGATGGTTCCAGAGAGAGGGTTGGTTGAAACGGTGAGGGGATATGGTTTTAAGGAGTAGAAGAGGAAGATTTTCTTTACCAAGACCGTGTTTTTCGTTATAAGATTGTTACACTATTGATCTCGTTCCTTGCTTGATATGTAATCTTCTTCCAGAAGACTGAACAATGCTCAGTGACAATTGTAACTCTTTACAGGCAAAGCTTTTGGCGGTATTGATCCTTATACCATGGGCATTGGACTTTCTAGCTCATGATTAAGTACTTATGCCGTTTTTAGTGTTACTGTTAATTTTCATTGCTAGTTGCTACTGTTAATTTTCCCAGTATGTCTCTATATACATTGTGCTAGTCACTTGGTCCGCAGTTTGAATATAAAGTATGTGACTTTACATGCAGATATGTGCTCTTAATACCGCAATAAGTGATAGACATTGGGCTCAATGTTTTATGCAACAAATCAACAACTCTTATGGAACATTTCCAAATTACTTATCACCATACATTATGCATATGACAAAAAGGATCAGTTATCGCTACCAAGAATTCATACTTTTTTTATAGATCAATGAGAGGCTAAAGACTGATTAAGAGGTACATACGAGATTCTTTGCAAGATAGGCTGCACAGAGAGACACAAAGTCTATAGACCCCCCGATTCAGACTTCCATAGAGTAGTAGCATGTAAAAAGAGAAAACACACATACACAAAAATAAAGAAGTGGACTGATCACATCAATGGCGCAATCATACATACACATCAGAAGATTCATATGATCAGGGCCTAATTAGTAAAATAATTATGAAAAGACATAACTTAAAGAGAAAACAGGGTTTCTCTTTATTTATTTATAGATAATTATGTTGAGATCAAGTGCTCTCTCTCTCTTATTCTTCTTTGTGCTCCATATGCGGTAAGTATCGACATCTTCTGCGTAGCAAGAACCGTTTCTAAGCTGCTTTGTTGTTCCCTTTGACCTCCTCTTGGTTGCTTGATTTCCGCAAGACTCGGAACATAACAACACGCACGCACAAGAGAGTACCTGTCGGTATACTCTTGGAGTGGCACTTGTCTAAAGCATCCAGCCTCTCCAATGACGTAAACTTTGTACCTCTTAGTGTGTCTGTCTTCATCAAAAAAAACGGCGACTTTCTTCTCCTCCTCAATGAAGAAACTCCCAAATGAAAAACCAGGATTAAAACCAAGTAAATACGGTTTCATATCCACTGTCAAGAACTTGATCCACGACACCTTGTCGGCCTCAATCGTCTGCGTAATCCAAACCTCCACCGTCAAATCACGGACGTCCTGCTGATGAAAAACCGCAAGCTTCTCTTCTCTAACACAAGAGAGAGTCACAAGCTCATAATCCAAGGCCTCAAACGGCAGAGGCAGAAGCGGTCCAAACCTTTTCCTTGTAAAATCAAAACATATCAAGTGACGCGCCAACCAATCGTTCGAGGTGTTCCTAGGTGAAGCTCGCAAGTAAGTGTTTCCCTTGAGAGACACGCCAAAGCTATTGTAGCTTATATACCAGTGTGAATTTCCGACATCAAGAGTAGTCCATTCACCAGAGTCTAAATCGTAGATTTCATACCATAACGGGTCGTCCTTGGGCTCATAGGGCTCATCACGAGCACGCTCAGCCAAGTTAATATCCATAAACCTCAAGATTTTGTAACTCTTCTTCTTCCTCTCAGTCTCGTCGTATCCCAGAGCGTAGCGGTACCTGTCGGTTCCGTTCCGTGGGTATTCGAAATAAAACCTTAGTTGGATCCACCTTGTTTCCAAACCACAATCCTGTTGACGTCTTCCAAGGTGCATAACAACAAACCCTCGCAATCGTAGATCTGTTGTATCTTCACTTGTGGGTCTGAATCGTTTCTAACTAGTTTACCTTTAGGCTCTGTCGATGGATCAGCGTCGATTCCTGAATTCGCCGTGACGCTCATCAGATAAAGTTGGTGTTCCATCAGCACGATCAACGGAGGAGACTCGCCTTCTTCCCTTGCCGCTGCTGCTACGAGTTTACCGATGTGCAGCTCCGTAAAGCTCCGACCTTTGGATAAAGTATCCCACTTTCTGCAAGTTAATCGAACTGATCTCATAGATCTCAGGGGAATTCGAGAGATAATCTCCTCTACCAATTCCGTTGGAATGTTGGAGATGTTCGTCGTCGTCATCGCCTTCTTCATTGTTTCTCTTCCTCTGCTCTCTTGCGGCTGTGACAAACAATTGAAGCGAAGAAAGGGAAAAATACAGATGAGATAAAAAACAAATATTCATTTAAGTAAAGAACAGACATTTATCAACTTTTTTTGTAGCATATAAATTTTGTCTCTGTTACAAATAGTTTATAAATTAAAACCCTTTGCACACAGACGCACCATCGGTATTGCAAAGAACTTTCACTTATTCTATGTTTGGGCATTCGGGTTTCAGTTTGGGTTCGGGTTAGTTTTATTCGGGTTTGGATTTTTTCGGGTTGCTAAATTTTAGATCTGTATGGGTTTAGGGAAATTTTGGTTCAGTTCTTATCGGGTTCGTTGGTTCGGGACTAAATTTTATGGACCCATTCAGGTTTATACAAATTTTGGTTCTTATTCGGGTCTTTTTTGATTCTGATTCAGGTCGATTTTTATCGGTTTTTTAAAACGAATATCCAAAATCCTACAAAATAACCAAAAAACTTGTCTTTATTCCATTTTCTACTAAATATTTTTGTACTTTTCGAATATTTTGATTATTTTGTTCTAAATATAAGTATTATATTAGATTTATAATTATAATTGTAATTTTAGTTATTTTTATTATTATAAGTCTAAAAATAACTAATATTTTGGATATATAATTATATTTTGGATATTTGGAGTATCCATTCGGTTCTCGATTCGATTCGAGTTCATTTTTTTCGGATATAAGAATTTTGGATCTATCGGGTATTTGTTTCGGTTCCGGTTCGGTTCGATTCCATCTTTTTCGGATTAAGTTCGGTTCGGGTCTTCGAGTCCCGATAAACTGCGGAGGCCTAAATTATTCATTTATCGTGTGAAAAACGAGACATTTGGCAAAAATTTTGTAGATAGACAATAGATTTTTTTAGTAGCATACAGATTTTGTCTCTGTTACAATAGCATACATTTCCAGTTTACTTAAGGAGTAGGGTTTGACCCGTGCCCTGCACGGGTGATGATTTCTGAATTTGTATTTTTTAATCAGAAATGTATATATAACTATTTTGAAATTTTATACGACATATTTTTCACCTTGGTTAGGTTCTTGTCTTGGTTTATAGTGTGGAAATTAAGCATTTTAAACCATTTTCAAAAAAGTTAAACAAATTAAAATGTTGATCGTAGCCATAAATTAAATATGATAGATTTAACATACATAAAACTCAAATGATTACAATATAATAAAATTGTTCAAAGAACAAAAATGAAAATAAAATACTATTCTTTTTAAAAATTATATATCATGTATTTTATAAGATAAGCAGTTATAGATGTATGCACACGGATTATATCTTTTGTAACTATGCAAACGGATTATAACTAACTTTTTTCTCTTTCATTCAAAACTAAAAAATGTTTTATTATAATTTGAAAACAATTCGACCAATAAGAAAACAATCTGCAGTATCCAAATTGTCAAAACAACAAAAATATAATTACTTTTATATTGAAAGTGAAACAGATAGATCAATATTCAAATTTTGATCAAAACAAAATATTTATAAGAAGAATTGTCTTATTTGATTTAATTATACCGTTTAATTAAAAAACCATATTAAATCGAATAAAAAACCAATTTACATTTGGATACCTACTCTCCTATGTCATATGGTTGCACATCATCTATTTTTTTATATAATATATTTTTACACCTTCACACAATAACATATCATATATGGGAATTTTAAGAGTTTTAGTGAATATTCTTTTTTTTAAATTCAAATCATAGTATATACAGAAAAATTAGATTTTCTTTACTAAATTTCTTATATTGTGATTCAAATTATTTTATAAAATAGAGGTAAACAAAGATGAAATGAGATATCTAATGATTTAAAAAAACAATTATTATGATAGAATTAAATTGATCATATTTTTTTATTTACTAATTTTCGTAATTGCCAATTAAGAAAGAGAATGATAATTTATTAATAGCTACATATATATAATAATAATATGATTAATTTATAATACATATTTGATTCCTAACCAAAAATATGAATGACAATATTTGTAATTATTAATATCTTGATAATTTTCTATGGCATATTTGTAAATAGTTAATTAAGAGAGAGTTATTTTTAGAAGATCTGAGAGTGTGGCAAATGCTGACATCACTACCAAGACTACCGAATTGGTAGTCTTAGTAGTGATGTCAGCTATTATTTTGTACTTTTCGAATATTTTGATTATTTTGTTCTAAATATAACTATTATATTAGATTTATAATTATAATTGTAATTTTAGTTATTTTTATTATTATAAGTCTAAAAAATAACTAATATTTTGGATATATAATTATATTTTGGATATTTGGAGTATCCATTCGGTTCTCGATTCGGTTCGAGATCAGTTTTTTCGGATATAAGAATTTTGGATCTATCGGGTATTTGTTTCGGTTCCGGTTCGGTTCGATTCCATCTTTTTCGGATTAAGTTCGGTTCGGGTCTTCGAGTCCCGATAAACTGCGGAGGCCTAAATTATTCATTTATCGTGTGAAAAACGAGACATTTGGTAAATTTTTTTAGATAGACAATAGATTTTTTTAGTAGCATACAGATTTTGTCTCTGTTACAATGGCATACATTTTCAGTTTACTTAAGGAGTAGGGTTTGACCCGTGCCCTGCACGGGGTGATGATTTCTGAATTTGTATTTTTAATCAGAAATGTATATATAACTATTTTGAAATTTTATACGACATATTTTTCACCTTGGTTAGGTTCTTGTCTTGGTTTATAGTGTGGAAATTAAGCATTTTAAACCATTTTCAAAAAAGTTAAACAAATTAAAATGTTGATCGTAGCCATAAATTAAATATGACATACATAAAACTCAAATGATTACAATATAATAAAATTGTTCAAAGAACAAAAATGAAAATAAAATACTATTCTTTTTAAAAATTATATATCATGTATTTTATAAGATAAGCAGTTATATATGTATGCACACGGATTATATCTTTTGTAACTATGCAAACGGATTATAACTAACTTTTTTCTCTTTCATTCAAAACTAAAAAATGTTTTATTATAATTTGAAAACAATTCGATCCAATAAGAAAACAATCTGCAGTATCCAAATTGTCAAAACAACAAAAATATAATTACTTTTATATTGAAAGTGAAACAGATAGATCAATATTCAAATTTTGATCAAAACAAAATATTTATAAGAAGAATTGTCTTATTTGATTTAATTATACCGTTTAATTAAAAAACATATTAAATCGAATAAAAAACCAATTTACATTTGGATACCTACTCTCCTATGTCATATGGTTGCACATCATCTATTTTTTTATATAATATATTTTTACACCTTCACACAATAACATATCATATATGGGAATTTTAAGAGTTTTAGTGAATATTCTTTTTTTTTAATTCAAATCATAGTATATACAGAAAAATTAGATTTTCTTTACTAAATTTCTTATATTGTGATTCAAATTATTTTATAAAATAGAGGTAAACAAAGATGAAATGAGATATCTAATGATTTAAAAAAACAATTATTATGATAGAATTAAATTGATCATATTTTTTTATTTACTAATTTTCGTAATTGCCAATTAAGGAAAGAGAATGATAATTATTTATAGCTACATATATGATTAATTTATAATACAGATTTAATTCCTAACCAAAAATATGAATGACAATATTTGTAATTATTAATATCTTGATAATTTTCTGTGGCATATTTGTAAATAGTCTAATTAAAGAGAGTTATTTTTAGAAGATCTGAGAGTGTGGCAAATGCTAACATCATCACTACCAAGACTACCGAATTGTAAGGAGTTTGGGGAATTAATTTTTGTTAATATATCTCAGTTTTTTAATGATAGCAAAGACTTAGAGAAGCACTTGAGGACAACATTATCATGAAGCCTCTCACACTTGGAAGTTGGAACTATCAACCTCTCTCACCGTTTCAAAGTCATAATTGTCAGGATGGCACAAAGCTTCCAAGGACTCAATATACCAATCAAAATGAATTAAAGACATTAAAACCAACGCATAATACAATTCCTGACAAAATTGGTTAGCTAAAATCTAGGAAGAAACTTCATTTAACCTCTGAGAGTATTCAGTCTGACGAACTCTTAAGATTGAGCACTCTTGGACTACCGACCAAGCATGTGGATAATATTTTCGTTAGTTTAGTAACCAATCAAATGCTTTGATCAGCAAAATTTTGAGAGACCGTGAGACACTGAGACTTGCTTCTTCCTGAATCATGATGGGAACAAACATGTAACTAAATGACTTTCTGCTATATTGCCAAGTAGAAGACATACTAGTTACACGCATCGGACAGAGGTAAGAATCTACTGGATATAATATCAATGGCGCAATCATACATATATACACACCGGAAGATTCAAGAAAGTTCCATTCGGAAAAGATATGATCGAGGCCTGATTTACTGTAAGTTACAAATCCACTCTTCAATCAAGTTACTAGAACTTTGATTGATTACTCGACAAAAAAAGAAAAAGAAAAGGATTTTTAAAACTAATACATAGATAATTAGTTACGCAGAACACAAGATAGAAACAATACATACATGCACCAACATTACATACTGCAAATATGCCAAAGAAATGATCGAGAGATGATCTCTTCTACCATTTCCGCTGGAAGGTTGGAGATGTTGTTCGTTGTCGACGTCATTGTTTCGCTTCCCCTCCTCTATTGCGGTTGTGACGGTCAATTGAAGCGACAACTATATAACACCAAAACCCTTTTCATTTACATAAAGATCAGAATCAGATTGATAAAGGGAAAAGTATTCAATTTATCATGTAAAGACGAGACCTTTATCAACTTTTTGGAGATTAACTCAATACGTTTTTAGTAGCATATAGATTTTGTCTCTGTTACAATTTACAAATAGTTGATAAAAAGAGAAACTTTACACAGAGACACACACCATATTCAATTTTGCAAAGATCGGATCTTTCTCTGCCACTAACAAGTTCCGGCGACTAGACAAAAGATCTCAAGCACAATTACAAATACAAAAGCTTATGGCTTCTTTCTACAAAACCACTTTTCTCATTTACAACATTTCTACTTACAATCTCTCTATCATCAACATAAAAGTACACTCAAACCATATATACACATTGAAGCGTTTCATAAAATCCTGTTTATCGGATTAAGTTCCCTCATATTAATCATCTTAATCTACATACACTGATCATTGCATCATAAAGTGACACTCTTACAGTCATATTCTCTGCTATGAGTCTTGAGGTTAGCTGATATGGTCCTGAAGATTTCACTCCCAACCCATTAAAGTATTCCACACTTGTTCCTCTATCTTGCTTCTCCGGACTTGTAAGCTCTCTTCTTCGTTGATCAACACTTTGTACACTTCCCACTCTCTGTCTCCCGTCACATGTCTTCCAATTTCAGCCTATTAAAAACACCGATTTGCATAGAATTTAGATGATAAAATATGAGCTCAAATGGTGTGGCTGAATCACTTCAAGTTTTTATATATATACCGAGAAGATACAGGTATTGATCTTCTTGAGGGCAAGTGCAATGTCGTAGAAGACTTGTGGCCGTCCCTTTCCTGACAACTCAACAGGGTTTGTGACTAGAAGTTCAGTATCCGGACCTCGATTCATGATTACCACTCTCAGAGGTTGCTGTAGTTCTCCTCTTAATCGAGATATCAGCGCATTTTGCTTGCTTGAGTCAAGTATCTTCCGACCATCAGACTGCACGATGAACAAGTCGATCTCACAGTTCCTTCCTCGTTTGATTGTAAAACGCCCATATGAGATCTGACCATAAAACAAGATTCAAAGAAAATGAATCCCATGTGAATAAAGGATCATAAAGACCATCAAAGGCTTAAACAAACCTGAATGTTGAAATCCTTGAAAGTTCTCATAATATCATAGAGAAGGCCTTTGTGATCTTGACAAGTGATGTGAACGAGAGTGTGAGCTGGGCTCAGCGAGTTGTCAACTGAAATAGACACACTGTTTGAAGTGTGTAACCCACTAGGATGCTCTCCCGAGACATCCAAGGAGAACAATGTTTCTGCAACCGATGAGGAAGCCTGTGAGCGAGCTCTGATTTCAGGGCCAACGAGTTCAATGCCATAGCTCACCAATGACTCTCCTATGGCATCTCTCAGGTACTCATACACTTCATCCCGCCTCTTCTCTGTTCCTAAAAGATCCCTGACAAGGACAAAAACAGAACACACCTTACATAAACATTCAAAGGACTATCCCAAAAAAAGGCAAAAACCAGAAAGTCCATCACTTTGCGTTTTAAACGTACCTAGTGTCTGTAACAAAGAACAAGTCCATAACTTTTCCATCAGGAGTAGTTGATATCTTCACTTTCTCAATGTTAATCTCAAGCTTGTAAAGAACCTCTGTGACATCTGCCATTATGGGAAAACAGAGTTTGAATCTTGAGGCCACTACCCACTACTACATGCAAAACAGAGAATCAATAAAGCCAATAGAAACTAACCAAAGAGAAGGCCTTTGCGGTCAGAGCAACCTAGCTTCAATAGGAAAAGATCAGGAAGCTTCGGAGGCTGTAACTCAGAGTCAGAAAGGTAACATCTTGAGATACCAAAGGCCCAAGAAAAGGCAGGACTTGCCTCTACAAGTCTCATCTTCAACAGATTCCATCTCGTGTTTGGTTTCCCAATCACCCAGAACACCAAGTAACACCATTTTCCGTCAGTGGATACATCTTCACAGAGGAATTTCATCGAACACATTCAGGTCACAAAAAAACAGAGCAAATTGAATTCCAATAGAATTTCAAAAACCGCATCGAAGCAGAGCAAAATTGAAATAAAAAAAATTCAAATTTTCGTTCCAAGATACTCAAAGCAGGAGTTTTTCTAATCGAATTTACCTCCTCTGACAATGTTGAGACCGAAGAAGAGGAGGATACGGCAGAGGTCACAACCGAGGCCAGTTTTGTCTGGGCAATTGATGGTGATAACACTCGGGTCGCCTTCTTTCTCCGACTGTCTGATTATCACAACGTCATCCGACAAAATACCCATCTCCTTCCTCCTTTAAAAGTTTTCGAATTTTTCTGATGGTTTGGCTGAGTTTTATTGCAGATTGGAGGGAGAGAGAGAGAGTCAAAGGCTCAAAGGTGTTGAGCTGCTTAACTTCGTCGTGTTGTTGTTGGTACTTGATGCCATGTTTTGTGTTTCCTACGTTTTTGAGCTTTCTGATTGTGATTTTCTTCCTTAACCCTTCTCGTTTTAGAAGAACCAACTCTAATTCCATTTATATTAGAAATTTTTTTCTGAAAAATCTAAAGCAATGATATTACGATGGGGTCGTTGGTTACTACTAGTCTAGTCAGATATGAATATTCTTGTTTGATGAATATTTAGGTGAATTATTTATTAGGCAAAATGTATATAAACCAATATTTTGTAAGGAATTAATATTTTCTTCTCTTAACAACAAAAAAAGAATAAGTTTTTATTCGTTTTGGTATCGTTTTGATACATTTTGATACTAAATATGTGTTTTTTTGTTGATGGTCCGATTTGGAATTTTGAGTTTAAATAAGGGAAACACGTTTGATTTTCTTCTCTTTCTGCATTTTTATTTTATTTTATTTTAATTCTAAATTTGTTTGTATTTAACTATGTTCTAAAATATTTATTTTTTTACGACAAATCTCTCTAAAAGGGTGATCATGGCGATTTTTGCTAATCGGTGACCCTATTTGGTTAAATGTTATTTGGCCGATTTTATCTGATTAATTACAAAAATTATTGATTAGTTCAAAAAAATGGTTGACTAAATCTATATTTTTCTGAAATCTGTTTGACCTAATTTATAACTGTTTGTAAAATTTGGCCCAAAAATCAAAAATGTAAGTATATTCTGTTTAGAGTTATCTTAATAAAATAAACATGTGATTAATTGTTTTATGCAAATCAATTTGAGATTTATCATCTAAACATAAATTCTATTCCCTCCGTTTCATATTAAATGCTACTTATTATAATATTTCTTTTGTAATTATTTTTTTCTTTCTATTTTAAAATTTTTAGTAGATGTGAATTTGGAAAAATATATATTCTAAGCTGGAAATAAATGATTTTCATACTAATGTGGCATCTTATATATAAAATATTCAATTATATAGTAAAATAAAGTAAAATTTTCATCTCGAGAATTAATAGCTATTTTTGAAAAATGACTTAGGAATTAGCAAAGTTTTGAACACAGGTATTTAATATTTTGTCGTAATTATATACTGGTCTATCCTATAAATGAGGACTGTGGAGTATGGGCGGTTAATAATTTAATAAGTTTTTAAACGCAACAAATAATTTAATATGTAAAAGACTAATGTTACAGAATTATATATTGATAATACGTGGCCACACTCTTTTTCGTATACCAGAATGATGTGAGCTGTGAGTTTGTGACTATGATGTCTTTCTTATTTTTAAAATTTCGTTTCAACTACTTTTCTAATTTTAAAGAATTGTTACTAAAGAGATTGAGATTTATAAGTTAGTATGGTTTATCAACAGGAAAATAACTAAATACTAATGCTCAAAACTCACAAATTTGAGTAACGTTTATATAAGACTGGACTATATTACATGTTTTAGTTTTAGATATTACATTTTCATATCACATTCTTTTTTAATTTCAAAACTGTATTAGGTATTACTGTATTAGTAGTTGTAGATAATGGACAAGTTTGTTGTATTGGAAATTCATTCCTAGGGAAAATATTATGGCATTTCCTTTCTTTCATCTAGAAGGACGAGAACATGATCCTCTATCAATATTCAGATGGGTAATGAAGGGGTTGCAATAAATTGGGTGCAAATATTGGTCAAGAAAAAAATTTGGGTGTAAGCCAAAACTGTTGGACTTGATTGTGTTATTTAACTTCAAACGTATAATGCAGAGAGAGTTACTTTAGCTGTATTCATGTATGTATAAAGATTCCACAATCAAAAAAAAAAAAAAAAATGAATCAAGTTGTTGTGATCAAGCTAAGCTCTTACCGAGAGACCCACAGTAGCATATTACAAAGGCATATGATAATGTTTGGAAGTTCCAAAGACCTTGAAGAAGCAATTTCTTTATGTGAGATATTGTTGAGACTCCGAGAATATTTTCTTCTGAATGTTGTTTGTTTATGTAATATTGTTGAGACTCTGAGAATATTTTTTTGTATATTTATGGCAACTGAAAAGAAAAAGTGGTATATTTGTGCATATGATTATATGAATGATAACAACTGGAATATGAATGATCAGAACCGCTAAATCAAGTTTGATAAGACAAGTCATGTATAAAGTTTGAGTTGTATTTTGTGAAGTCCTTAAGATAATGTAGATTTTTCTAAATTTCTACAACTTAATATTACATAATATATAGTGGGAAGATATTTATGACATGGAGCAAGTGGGAGGAAAGAATAAAAGTCATTTGTCTCGAGCTGATCCAAATGGTCCAAAATGTAAATGATAAAAAGTAAAACTTACAATATAAGATACTAAACTCTATAGAATCCATAGTAGCATCAATGCATCATGCTACTAGAATGTTACTTGACTTGCTTTTCTAAATGTTCTCTTCCTAATTTTCTTTGTTCAAGTATTTTAATATTGGTGGGACATTTGAACTTAGAAGGCTATCACTAAATTACTATAACTTGATTACCATCGCTTGGCTCAAGTCAATTTCGTTGATGAAACAAAATGACACAAAGGATAAGCATAAAAAAGATTCACAAGAAGAGAATATTAACGTAGAAAAAATGCCTCATACGAAAGAAAGAAACAGTTATTTATACTTCTTGCTATATCAACCAGCTCTAGACTTATGATATTATGAAATCTGCATATCGTAAAATTGAGAACCTATTGTTCTTCGTTATTGCAAATCAACACCCACCACAAGTAAATTTTAATTTGCGAATGCACTCACTACGAAATTCCACTTGAAGTAACAACTTTTTATGAGACAATGATGTTTATCTGTCAATTTTGTATACGTTTTGGAAGCAATTAGATATTTCCCTGTGACAAAATATCAATTATGACTGTTACCTACAAATTGTAATATTTCATATCTTCGGTTAATGACAGATTACATAATCCTTTGACTATGACTTCAAGTACCGTTTATAAGCAAAGTAAAAGGAACCCATTGGCACAAATTAAAGTATATCACGAAGCAATATACATCCACAGGCCACGATAAAAAAGTTCAATTTCCAAATTGATAGTGCTAAAAACAGGAACCTCGAAGAATTTCTCAATCAAAGATCAAACATTCTCTGACAATAAACGAATCTCAACCTAACAAAATCAATTTCAGTACATAGTAGCACAAGATTAAAAGCTTAGAGAAAACATATCTAAGATTACAAACAGATAAAAAGTCAAGTCGATGAGCTTTCAATGGCGTTCTACAAACTCTACAAAGCTCAAATACATTTTAACAAACAAAATGGTCTAATCATAGTTTCTTCTACTTCTCTGTCTCTCTTTCTTTCATCAGGTCTCAACATTAGCTCTATTTCCGGCAAGGATAATGGAGATCTCGAGTCCGCGACTAAAGGCTTGGTTGAAGAGGAGACGAGACTGGAACGTGGAGATGAAAGGGAACCACGAAAGGAGAGCAATCGGAGCAAATATGAGCATACCCATCGCAGCATCATAGATACGTCCAAACTCACGAACTGTTTCCCACAAGCCAAAGAGCTTGATCAGCCGTTTCCATGTGATGGCTAAAGACAGAACTGCCCAACCGGTCGGGATGAAGCCGAGCACGCATGCAAACATGTCTGCGATCGACAGATCTGTCAATGCGATGGCTAAAGAGATGAGGGCGATAACCGTAATTGACACCACTCCCTGTAGAAAACGCAGCGCCAAGAGAATGTTGCTCGACTTCCTGGGGCTATACCAGAATAGCTGCAGTGACAAAAAGACATGATCCAACGTTAGCGGAAGAGATGGAAAAGAAAACATCAAATCTGGAGAAGGAATTAATGAGAATCTTAGTACACACCTTAAACAAGAGCACAATCGCAACCAACACAATCCACGAGTAGCCATAGATCTGCAAAACAGAAAAGAAAATGAACTCTCTTGCAATAAATGTAAAAAAATATTCGAGTGTAATAGCTCCTACAAAGCAAAGCACAGTCTTATTCTTATAATAGCTCCTACAAAACAAAGCTTTTTCCATAATCAAGCAAAATGCAAATATTTCCATAATCAAGCAAAATGCAAATACTCGGCTGAGCTGAATTTAACGAAATTGCAAGCTAAGAAGACAGTTTTACCGCAAGTGAGGTGGAATCCCCAGTGAGTTTGAGCTTGTACACGATGCCATATTGAAACATGAAGAATCTCAAGCTTAAAATGGTCTCCAGAATCCTGCCTCTTAACGTTTGGATATGCGCCTGTAATAGAAAAAATAATATTTACACAAACTAACAAATATGGAGTATGTATGATAACACATCAAACACACAAAAAAATTGGACAGACCTGTTCTTCCTCCCACCACGACTCCCAACTGAGCTCTCCCTTTACTCCAACTCCACCTTTGTACATGAGCCAACTGACCCAGTTATCAAAATCCTCGACAGTCCTACATCAAGCACGAAAGATTCAAAGGTCACAAGTTAATACAATTTAAGATATATGGCTATCTGTGGCATTACAGAAAATCAAATACGAAACTGGAATGAGGACCAAGCAACAGGAACAGTACTTACTTTTGCCATTCGAATCCAGAAGGATTGAAGATATAGGGTGCAAATAACCAGGAGATTACAAGGAACCAACTGCTGATAGTCAGCAAAACGAACGAAGAGGCACCCCCATCCGTATACCCATAGGCAATGTAGACTATCAGCAACAGAGCTACTTCAAGGCTGCGCAAAGAAAGTAGTTCACATAAGTCAGTAAGAAGCAGTTCACATGATGACTGAAACAAGAGCATGCCAGAGGATAATAACAACTGATTAACTTACGCTTTAACAAAATGACTTCTA